CTTGTTTGCTCTCTTCCTTAGTTTTTGAGGTGAGGTCTCTTGCTGAACCCTGAGCTCACTCTTTTGGCTATACGAACTGGCCAGCACACCCTCATCATTCCCTGGTCTTGGCTCTGCTCAGTGCTGGGGTTCAGGCCCACCTCCCACAGCAGCCTTTTATGTGGATGCTGGTGATTGAGACTGAGGTTTTCATGCTCGTTCAGAAAGCTCCTACTTACTGAGCTCTCGTCCCAGCGCCTCACCTTCCTTTAAAAAAATGAAGATAACATTAGAAAGAAGACAATAGTTTTATAGTAGAATTATCAAAAAGTAGGAATACTTTTCAAACTTGATATATATTTCAGATTTTCCCAAAAGTTATTTTTAAAACAATTTATACTCATATAAATAATTAGTTAGGAGTGCTTTTACAGCATGCCTTGGGGTGCAAATGATAGCTGATTTGCAAATGAAAGCATAAAGAACATCTAAAAATATACAAAGAAGTAAAACTTAAAGATGTAGTTTAGCCTCTGTTTTATATTTTATAAAACAGAATGTGTGTGTGTGTGTGTGTGTGTGTGTGTGTGTGTGTGTGTAAATTTAAAAGTCAGTTGTAGTCAGTTGAATGTTTATAAAACCTAGGTTAGCCAAACTTCAAATTCAAAAGATTCAGTTTGCATAAGGAATTTTTTCCTATTAGTAGGTTTACATCTTTAAAAAGGATTTATTTTTTTTATTTTTTTGGTTTTTTGAGACAGGGTTTCTCTGTGTAGCTTTGGAGCCTATCCTGGCACTTGCTCTGGAGACCAGGCTGGCCTCGAACTCACAGAGATCCACCTGCCTCTGCCTCCGGAGTGCTGGGATTAAAGGTGTGTGCCACCAATGCCCGGCTAAAAAGGATTTATTAATGTGTATGAGTGTGTGCTCCCTGAACAGTATCTGGATAGAAATATAATGTATTCCTTTTGTTTTCTTGCTTATTTATTTGTTTCTTTATTTATTTATTGTCCTTTGGATAGGTTCTCATATAGCCTAGACTGGCCTCAAAGTTGCCTTATTTTGGGTGTTTTAGTGATACTACTCTACCTTCCAAGTATTGGGATCACAGTCACATACCAGAATGTCCAGCACTATATTGAAAACTTGTTAGCTGGACCAAATGAGAGGAAGACTATGAAACATTCACATATGTTGCCCTTCCTCTGCTTTGATGTACTTGTGTTGTTTCCACTATATCTTAGGCTCTTTGAAGACAGGATTATGCTGTCTATTTCTTACATGTCACTTTACAGTTTCTATTGTATAATGCCTGGATGCAGTATATTCTCAGTGGATGGCTTTCTATCATGGCTCTTTAGTACCTCACAGCTTTCACACTAATGGAAGGAAAATCATGTGTAAATTCTTCTCACAAAGCAGCACTTTAATAAAGAGGGGAAACCTCTGGGTTCTGGTGTCCTCATTGTGAAGATGAGCTTATGTGGCCAGCCAACCATAGCAATGCCTCAGACAGAATTCAAGAAGGATTTTTAAGATAAATATGCTAGTTATGGAGGTGATCATATTGATTACATTATATATTGAGGACTAACATTTACTATATGACATATTTCATTATACTTTGATGCTTCCAAGTATAGCCTTCCATATGTATTTTAGGATATTCTGTGAGGACAAGCAGACCTTCTTGCAGGACTGTGAGGATGATGGAGAAACAGCTGCTGGGGGTCGTCTTCTTCATCTCATGGAGGTCAGTGTAGAGTTCAACTCTGAATATGCATTTACAGGCCATAGTTTCCCAACAGACCAGAGCTCCACTTAGGAAGCAGGAAGAATTTGAATGATGTGAGACACTGGTCATATACATTGATTGAGGAGAAATCTTCACCACTGGACCCGGGTCAGAGTGCAGACAGTTAATACCAAATGAGTGCTTTCCAGGAAACACATAGGATTGTCTGCTCCTCTGGTAAACTGCCCTTTGTTCCCTGGCAGTGGCTTTCTTCTCTTGTCTTTGTGAAACTCCCTGTTAGTTAGATGCTGAAACGTGGAGTAGATGGAGGATGTTTCATTGTTAAAAATTAAATTGCTTGTCTCTTTTGTCTTTATGTTCTGAGCCATTGTCTTGACCATTTTCCAAAGTTTATGTATTTTTGACAACCTTGCATTTAATTTTCTTAAGCAGTATTCTTTTCCTTATTAGAAATAATTTCCCTTCATTCTAAAAAATATTTATTTTATGTATGTAGATGTTTTACATTCATTATATCTGTGTACCATGTGCATGCACTGCCTGCAGAGGCCAGAAGATGACATTGGATCCACTGGAACTTGAGACAGATGATTGAGCTGCTATGTGGGTGTTGGGAATCGAACCTGGGTCCTTGCAAGAGCAGCAGGTACTCTTAACAATTGACTGAACCAGCTCTCCAGTTCCTGCATTAGATTTTTTTTCCTGTTTTCTAATTCTGTTTTTCTTAAGAATATTGTTCAGTTTTTACAGACAAAGTAGCTTTTAAATTTTGTCTGTATGTATTGAGTTTCTTTATTGAACTGGTCACAGCCTTAAGTTTCTCCAGGTTCATTTTATTTTATTTATCTATTTGTTTCTCTTTCATCCTGCTGGATTTTCTTTACCTGGTTAGTGGTCATTGATTTGTCCATTCGTTTTTAGGGTGGGCTTTTTTTTTTCCTCAGGTTTCTTCTATTTCTGTATGTGGGGTTTGCTTTTGAACTAGGCCTTTCTCTTGAGTGTGAAAGTTCTGTAGGCAGCTCTTGACAAGTGTCACCATGGCACTCATGAAGGTCCTCTTCTCTTCAGTAGTTTGTTCAGGAGCAAGTTTTCATTTGTTTGTTTTTGCTTTTGTTGCTGATAGAAGGCTGACTAAACTTAGCTTTCTAGTAAAACTCAATAAGAATGGGAGCCCTACCTTCTTGGTTCTCGCTCCACTGTAATCCGTGGCTCCAAAGTTCAGAGTTTGAGGGTGTAGAGCACTGTATTGAGTTTCCAAATTCCCTTTTGTCCTAACTTTTCATCCCTGAGTTTTAGCAACCTTATTCATTTTATATATTGACCATTTCTTTATTAAAACTCATATTTGTACATATGTACTTGTGTGTAATTATGCTTCTGAAAATAACAGATTTTGAATGTGAAGAATGTCTTGGTGGTGGTATCCCGTTGGTATGGAGGAATTCTGCTAGGACCCGATCGTTTCAAACACATCAACAACTGTGCCAGGAACATACTGGTGGAGAGGAACTTTACAAGCTCACCTGTGAGTAGCTGTTGATGCTGTAGTTATGAGTTTGCTATCACTGTGAAACTCAAAAGAAAATCAAGAATGGGTGTTTTTATGGGCATTGCGTTGGTAAAGCTATTGAACTAGGAAGCTGGAGACCTAGGCCTTAATCTGAATGATGAGAGAATCTGATTTTACAGATCTGGTCTGTAGAGTTTATAGTAGAAAACGTGGAAACCCCTCTAAATACTATCTACTGTCCACGCCCTTAAACTGAGGTCCAGGAAGATATGAGCTGTCACACTGAGTAGATGTTCTTGAGGTAACTGTAAAGTCCTGAAAATTCTGTGCCAGAGTATCTGTGCTTCCCTGACATGTCTGTGGATGTGTTTGTTTTGCTTATGCATTATATATGTTTATAGCTATTTATTTAGACTTGGGAGAATGGATATAGATGAAATAATATTGAGATTTTTCAAGCATAAATATGCTAGCATAAATGTTTTTCTTTACTAGCCTTGCCTGTCATAAAACACTATGCAACACATTACCCAAGTATCTTTAGGCAATGCTGATGCATTTGGAGATAACCTTCACCATGTAAAAAAGATATATGCTTGCTGTGAGGTCCTGTCTGTCCATGGAAGTAGAGGTGCTGCATTGACTGGTTTCTTTTCCAGGAGGAGTCATCTAAGACTTTGGGAAAGAAGAAAGTGAAAAAAGACAAGAAGAGGAATGACCATTAATACTTGAAACTATTTAAAAGGTTAATTATCGAGTCATTCTGTACACATTCCACAGTTAGTGGTTAACGAATACACAAAGATGGTACACTTGACAGCTCAAGTCAGCCAGTTCATCATGGACACCAGCATTATGTTTCCTTCTTTGGTTCTATCACTTGTAAAAAATAGAGAATTTAGGATATAGTCACATGTGTTTCAGGCTTGTGTGGGAAAACTGATATGAGCTTAGTTGCCATTTCATGTAACTTGGAAGGGGACAGGTGCAGGGCATTGTACCTGAGCTAACTGTCTATTTCAGTTTGTGTTGAGTGCCTTTGTTTGGGAGGGAAGATGTATATTCAGAAGACTATAAATGCCTGATTTCTTGTGATACAAAATTCTTATACCATTAAATGACCATGCATTACTGCTCCCTATAGCATATTAAGATTGGGAGCTCATTGAAGACTGAGTTCTTGGAGACTCTTTTCATTGTGATTTTACAAGTTTGCCGCTTTTCATTTAATAGTGTTCATCATGGACTAATAGATTAAGTGATAATCCAGGAGTATCCATCTGTGATTATGTGCCAAAGTGGTAATTTAACATATTCACTAGCCCAAGTGGCATGAATTACTCGGTTTTGTTGCAAATTGGTGTTTGTGAAATTTCAAAAAGTGATTTTGTAAGTCTCTGCCCTTTGTTCATTCCTATAATGAAACACAGTGAGCATTGAGTCTCAATAGTTCTTCCATTCCTTAAGTGTGTTGATGTAACCTTACAGTGTCTCTGAACAAACTTTCTGTGTTCTTCCCCATGTGTGGTTAAGGGGACACTTAGAGAATAAGGTAAAAGTGGAAGAATGCCACTGATGCAGAGTAGAACGGGACTAGTTTGATGCACACTTGCATCTGTCTTTTGGCCAGATTCTTTTAGTTCTATGATTTTTGTTGAGAGATAGAGGGACAAATCTTCTGATTAGAAAAAAAATCTATCCCCACAGATTCTTGGCAAATCTCCCGTTCTAACAGTGTCTATTTATTTTTTACCTGCATATTACTTGTAAGGAAAAAAATGTAGGTAAATTGCACACTGTTATGTTTCAGATATGATGCCAACAGTTAGTAAGTTGAGCAACAGGCTTGTTTGACTGCCCTCCCAAGGAAGGGACCAGAAGTTAGGAAACAGCTTTGGGATGGCACTGGAGCATGGAGCATCTGAGGTTGGGCAGATGTTTTTCTCTAACCTTTAACCCTAAAAGATCCACAGCCACACTTGGTATTTTAAATAGGAATCCAGGAGCCAGCTTTACACTAGAGTGGGTTCTGAGATAGAAGTCTTATTTTCAACATTATTTAATGTTGTAAGTTACTGAGAATTATAGGATGACCTATATGTGTGTATTTGGAGCACTTACCTCTGTTTCCATGAAATGCTGAGTATATCCTATGTATTAACTATTACGGAATTTAGACATTATTTGCTAAAGATAATTTCATAGTCTCGACATTTTAGACTGTGAAAAGCGATAAAAGCATTAAGACTTATGCTGTAGGAAGAAGGAGTAATTTTCCCAGCACACTGGTTTCTTTCCTGGTGTTTTGTCTAAAATGTATTAGTTCTTACAGACGACAAAACATTTTTTAAATATCTCTAATCTTATTTTCCTTCACATAAAAAATGTTATGTTTTCCAAGATTACTAACTACATTTTGTGGGTTGAGATCCTTAACCTTCTTCACTGCAGGTGAGAGGAAAGATCCCAAACTCTCCAGTTCTAACTCCTGAAATTATATTTCACACTTACCATCAATGCAAAATAATGGTAGCACACTTTTCTCTACCAAGATAGAGAAAAATCATATGTAGAGAATTTTCTAGTTCTCCGAATATTAACTTTCGATAGCCAAGCAGAGTCTGTTGTGGTGTTGTCTGTATTCAAGTGTTCTTCACATGCCGGTATATAAAATCAAATAGCATCTACTTTGATGGTCATAGCAGTAGCTGCATGAAGGAATTTGCCTGCAAGACAGGCTTTTGGAAGGAAATTCTTTCAAACCAATCACAGAATAGATGAAGCAGATACTGTGTGCAGGGCAGGTTGAGTATAGTGGGAAAATTGTAACCATATCCAGTCCACTAAAGAGATAACCGTAAATGGTGTATACAGTTCTTATTTTTTTCTTATGCATGATTTTGTATATATGGCTATTTTTCTTTCCATAAAGTGGTATTAAACTATATATACTGTTTTTTATCCTACACATTTCATATAGAAGTATATTGTTAACATTTTCCCATATCAATAAATATTCTTCTATGGCGTAACTTTTTATGACCTCATTGTATTCTGTCTTCCGGGTACAGTGTAATACATAAACTCATCCCCCAGTTGTTTTCAACAAGTTTTCTTAATCTTCAGATATTAGCTCTTAGAAGCAAATATTTTTTCATTGCATGAAAGTTTTTATATATATCCCTATTAGGAAAATGTAGAAATAGAATTCTTCATGAAGAGTTTATATATTCTCAAAGTGCTTCATAGACTAGCTCCATTTGTCTTTATCCTCATTACAATTAGCAAATGCTCAGTTTTTTTAAAAGTGGGAAAATAAGCAGTGTGGTTGGTAAAATGTCCATAAAAGTGTAAATATAGGAGCCCTTTATACCTATAACTCAGTCCTCCATAGTAATAGTGTCACATAAAGTCCCGAGTTTCATTTCTAAACTAAGGAAATACATTCTAGACACAACTCCTTTGTTAAATACAGGTTTACAATTTCCCTTAATATGGAGCCACCTTCCTTGTCTTAGTGGTGCCTGCTCACAAAGACCTGAATCATCTTCCTCCCACTTTTTTGGAGCTGCTGGGAATAGAACCCAGGGCTTTGTACATGTTAGGCAAGCCATATATCCTCAGGTGTTTCCTCTTTTTGTACATCATTTTTTGTTATTGGTGGTATCATGTGTAAAAACTACTTCATGGCCATAAATACTTCCTTTAAAAAGGTTTTTATTTGTGTATGCCTATGCCAGAAGTCAAAGTTCGAGATGGTGTGTCACTAAACCTGGAGCTCATCAGTTGGGCTAGTCTGCTGATCATTGAACTTGAGGCATTATCCATGGGTGCTGGAGATCCAATCACAGTCTTCATGTGTGGCCGTATATTCTTTGTGATTTATTAAAGCATGTCTGAGGATTCAGAAAACAAAGCCAGCCTCAAGCTATAGAGATCAGGTGGTGGTGGCATACAACTTTAATCCCAGGACTCGGGAGAAAGGCAGATGGATCTCCGAGTTAAAGACCAACCACCCTGGACTACTGGAGAGTAAATCAGAGCTCATGCCTTTAATCCCAGGATTTGAGAGGTGTAAAAGGTGCATTCAGTCTGAGAGTCTCTAGCCATGCTGAGGAAAGCATAGCAGTCTGAGTGAATCTGAGGAGCAGTGAAGTTGGGAGCGGTTTGAGGCTTTCCCCTTTGTTCTGAGCTAGTGGCTGGCTGCTTTGCTTTTCTGATCTTCAGCTTGAAGCTTGAACCTCAAAATCTGTCTCTGGCTCTGTTATTCATCATGTTACAATTGGCATCCAATGATAGAGTACAAATACACAAAAAAGCCTCTTTGTGGCCACTGGCCCAGGCCCAAGCCTGATCTGGAGACAGGACTCTCACTTGAGTTCCTCCTGCCTGAGTCTCTGCCAGAAGAGCTGGATTTTCTCCTCAAATCTTTGAGCAAGTGTACAGTTTTTTGATTGTAGCTTTTCTAAGCAGTCTTACGCTGCCACCCAAACTTGGGGCAACTTTCAGGCTATTTCCACAGCCTCTCTTCCTGATTGACATTCTCAGCTTATGGCCACAAGCAAATTCTCCAATTCAGACCTCACAGTTCACTGTCATCATCGTCGTCGGATTTGGTAAGTCAATTGGAAATTCTTAAAGGAGGGCATTAGTTAAAAAACGCGATTTTTTTTCCCACACTAAAATGAAAAATACTATAAAATGGAGAGATTATATAATGGATGGTTTAAAAATGGAACAACTAAATGAAGGGATAATCAACTGCAATTGACATACTGTTATCACTTTTGTTAGTCTTTGTTGTCCTTTTGATAATTCTTGGTTTATCTCTAAAAGTGTTGGTTGGTATGAATGCTAAGATGCAGGCCTTAGAAAAACTTATTAAAGCAGATTATAGAGATATTCAAACCCAAACTGAGGAATTACATGGAGAACCAAATTCAGCATTACATTTTAAGGTTACAAAGGAACACGCTAAGGCCTTAAGAGAACCACCACCATTAATATATCCGGTAACCTTACAGGAAGTGCCAAGTGATAGATGTTCTAAACAGCTACTTGGACGTCTGTGACAATGGTAGATTTAGGGAAAAAAGAAACACTCAGAGGATCAATTGTGTATGAGTCTATTCTTTCTCTCAGGCCCCCTAGGTTATATTTTGTCAGCTATAGAGCCTTATCTGGACTCTGTAAGGGATCACCAAAAGGGGGCTGGGATCCCGGAAAAGAATTCTGAAAAGAATACAGTCGTAGAATTAAAAAGGTAGATTATTGAATCTACTTCTAAAAATTATAGATATGATAAGATAAAAAGTAACTACTAGTTTTAAATATTTTACATTAGATTGGCCTTCTGTATATTGTATATAAATATTGTATATTGATACAAATTTGGAGATTAATTTGTTAAGACATTGTACATATGTTTCTAATCTTGTTCAAGGTAATGCAAATTATCAATGTAATGCAAATTTCTAGTTCTTGAAAGTTATTACCAACCATATGAGATAATATGGAAATGTAGGTGAGTAATTAGTCACCTATTACAATTGAACCTGTAATCACATTAGGTGTGTTTTCAAGGTCAACTAGAGATATATTTTAGATAGACAGGTCATCTTCAAACACTTCAGAGACCTACAGAATATGGCATTTAAAATGTTTTAATAATATAGGTATTTTTGTGACAATGATACTTGTTTGTTCCTGGCAGCACCAATCTGCTTTAGAGAAGATGATGGGCATTGAAGAAACTCCACATGGAGTTTACTTTCTTTGTGGCAAATGTTAGCCACTGGGCAGGAAAGTGCCCTTGCCTTGACTGCTGATAGTATGCTGTACAAATTGGACAAGAAGAATACAAAAGAAAGGACTGCAAAACCTTGCCAAGACAAAGCAGGACAGCCTTTCAGAAAATCCCACTTCACAGAAAAGTCTGTCAGAGATGCTAGGCCTGTAGGCTGAAGATGGATGCCCCAACATTGCAGTGGGACCTTGGGTGACTGTCCAGGCAGCCAGCTGTTTGTGTCATTTCTCACATCGTTTGGAAGTTGCTTGCTTGCACTTCTTATTTACTCAGTTAATATTATTTCCTTCATGGGTCTCTGGGGGAGTTTAAGACTAGACAGTTATAGTTTGACTCAGAAAGGAAACTCACTAGAGAAATGTAAAGTGTAAAAGATTGAGAGACATTAAAAAATACTTTGATAAGGCAAGTTATGACAGAAAGTAAATTAGGTACAAGACTTTGGACTCACCAAAATAGAATATATAGTGAAGTATTTCTCTGAATTTGGTAAATGCAAATGGGCTGCTGGAGGTTTCTGTCCTGCCTGGTTGGTCTCACAACTGCTTCAGCTCCAAATAAACACACAAGCACTGTATTAATTATAGAATTGTTGGCCGATGGCTAGGGCTGCTTATTGGCTAGTTTTCTCTTAATTATTAACCCATAATCCATGTATTTCTACATGGCCTTATCTTACCAGAGAACACTTGGCACATCCTGTCTTCCTGGTCTCTACATGGTATCTCTTTTGGTGGCCTCATTGCCTACATTTCATAGTAAAATTACATATAACAAAACAGTTACTAATTCCGGGTAGTGGTGGCGTACACCTTTAATCCTAGCACTTGGGAGGCAGAGGCAGGCGGATTTCTGTGAGTTCAAGGTCAGCCTGGTCTACAGAACGAGTTCCAGGACAGGCTCCAAAGTAATACAGAGAAAACCTGTCTCGACAAACCAAAAAAAAAGTTACTAAGTAAGAACTATAGTTAACAATATTTAGTCCATTAACATTTGACAAAATTTAAACAAAATAATCTATCATCTATCCTATCTTAGTGAGTATATGTAACTTATCTTTTATCATAACTAAGGAAAACCATAACCATAATTATCTGTTACCATTGTATATAGTTTTTGCATCAGGCTTTAAAACTTCTTTATACTAAAAGGGGAATTGTAGTGGCATCTCTCCTTGCCAGTGCATTTGTGTTAGTGGCCACACCCCTTTGGGCATGGCTTGAGGCGTGAACTTGACTGGAAGTTAGTTATGCCATTTTGGTGTCCCCTCCTCCCCCTGACGTGGATCAGATCTAACAGACAGAGACTGCATCTTCTGGAGCAGGGAAGCCAAGGCAATTCTTTACTATTATCTGTGTAAGTTGTTCCCCAATAAAACACCCATTTAAGCCAGGCGGTGGTGGCACACACATTTAATCCCAGCACTTGGGAGGCAGAGGCAGGTGGATCTCTGTGCGTTGGAGACCAGTCTGGTCTACAAGAGCTAGTTCCAGGACAGCCTCCAAAGCCACAGAGAAACCCTGTCTCAAAAAACAAACAAAACAAAACACCATTTATCATTTATCTTTGATCTAGTGAACTCATTACTACCCTGCCTTCACAAATGGACTAGATATTTTCTATGAATTTGTCAAATGCAAATGGACTAGACATTGTTGATGAAATTATTGCCTGTATGTATTGTATATACTAATTGTACTTATTGTATGTATTTTTTCTTATATTAGGGGAAAAGGCGGGAATTGTGGTGATAAATTCTTTATAATTTATTAACGCTTGCTGAAGATTCAGAAAGCAAAGCCAGCCTTAAACTGTAGAGATCTGGTGGTAGTGGTACCCACCTTTAATCCCAGGACTCAGAAGAAATGCAGATGGATGAGTTCAAGACCACCCTGGGCTACTGGAGAGTGAATCAGAGCCCATGCCTTTAATCACAGGATTTGAGAGGTATAAAAGGGAAAGGCAGCCGTTTGGGATTGGAATTGAGGCACAGTGGAGACAGTCTGAGGTTTGGTGGAGAGATTTAGTCTTCAGCCACGTTGAGGAGAGGCGTCAGTCTATGATTGCAAGTCTGAGGATTCGTGGAGTTAGCCGGACCACCCTTTCAGTCTGAGGTACAGGTAAGAGCTAGTGGCTTGGCTGCTTTGCTTCTCTGATCTTCAGCTTGAAGCTTGAACCCCATTATCAGTCTCTGGGAACAGAGAGACAGAGAGACAGACAGACAGAGAGTGTAAATGGGCAGGGGCCTATCTTTTAAAGGGGTCCTCTGCACCTGCGAGCAGACTTAGTTCCCATGGAACCTTGGACTGACCAGGGTA